AACAGGCTCAAGTTGATCTAAGCCACCAACTGGTCCACCTTGTAATCTCTCCTGAACGAGCTGCAGCTTTCCTTTTAGACCTTTGATCAGTCCTTGAATTTGTTTTGGATTAGGAACATTTTCCTCGTCCGTGCCCAGGAATGGACCATGTCCATCTTTAATTGAACGTCCCATTCCTTCTCTGGGATAAGTAACTTTTACAATCCTCCTCTTCAACCAGACACCTTGACCTAAGTCAGAACCAAGTTCAGGAACCTGAGTGGGTGTGAGATTCGACTGAGGATAATCCTGTGGTTGATAATCCATGGCCATTGTTTGCATCACAAGTAAATATTGAAATATTCTGTAAAATGTTGTATCAAACTTTTTAATTAAAGATAGAACTCTAAGATGGTAACAAAAACTGAAATTTTGAACTCTTGCTTGATAGATCTTGTGGAACAACTATACTTGGAATTTATACCATAATTTTTTATTTTTATTTTGTATATTCTTGTATTGTTTATTATCTTATTACCATGGTTACAATAAACAACTTTGCAATAGTGTACTTTTTACAGCTACAGTTTGGTTGCTATGAAGTTTTATTTGTTTCCCCAAAACTTAGATTCACTGGAATGTTTTGCTATATTTAACCTCGTCACCGCTTCAATTGCACAACACTTTTTTATCACAATTTTATTTACAATCTGTTCATTGTTTGAACATTCAGCAAATACAATAAAAATATTTGGGGTTTTTCAGGTCTACATGATAGTAGTAATAAAAATTCGGCATTTCCATTTTTTAAGTATAAAAATGTAAAACATGAAATTTTTAGAAATTTTTAAACTCTATAACATGGTAAAGCTCTTGGTGGATTTCAAACTCATTCAAGTTTTTCCTGCCCTACATAAAATCTGACCAAAATTACTCGAGCTATCAGGATTAGGAACATTAAACCATAGATAAAACATACTCCCTTAGTAGATTTCTCATCCTTATGGAACAGCTGAAGACAATTTTATTGTTAGTTCATGTACGGTTTATGTAGAGGTCGTGTTTTGTTTACAATTTGTTTCCCGTTATTACAGTCATTTAAAACCTCGTTTAACCAAATAATACGATCTAATCATAAACAATAACTTGTCCCCTAGTTATATAACCAAACAGTAAAGCACAAATCAAGAAATTAACCCTAAAATAATGGAAACAAAGTTTCATCGACACTAGCGCCTTTGTGTCACGAACATGAACTAGACACGAAAAACGTGCTTCAAAATTTACAATGAGATGAGAAGTCTACTTGTGTTGGTTAGTCTATGATTAAACGTATCAGCGATAATTTCTGGCGTAGAAATTTAAAAGATATAAGAATATCAAACGATAGGGGAGATATAGACAGTTATACACATGACTGATTATGTATGATAATAATAATAATATATTTATTGCCGTGAAACAAATATAAAATTGCATGACATCCGTCAACATTTAACACAGACATAACAAGCGACAGCAAAACAAATAAATACAACAGCATATAGCAATAAAAAATACTCATCATTAAAAAATTACACAGAACTTATCATTTGATTGATTAGAACCTCAGAGCAGCCGAACACCATCTACTATCATTTATGTCCATTTTCACATCATTTATGTCAAAAAACTCACTCACAGTGTAATATTCTTTATTAATCAGATATCTTTTTAAAACCAGTTTGAACCGTTTTTCGTTCCTTTCTTTCCTTATTTGTTCAGGAAGACTATTCAAAAATCTCACCCCCGTCTGAGAGGGCAAGCTTGAGGCCTGTTTTGGGCCAACCTATATTGTTCTCTGCCTCGAGTTGAATATGAGTGAATGTCCTGGCCTTGTGTTAGGCTGCATTTGAATTTGGAAAACGTGGCAGCTTCCAAGATATACAGAGAGGCAAGAGTAAGCAGGTCTAGCTCCCCGAAGACGGCCCTACAAGACTCTCTCACCTGTAGTTTAGCCACTATTCTGAGTGCTCTCTTTTGAAGACAGAACAACCTGTGGAAGTCCGTTTCTGCACATCCACCCCAGATTGCAATTCCGTAAGAAAGATGGGGGTAAATAATAAGGCCAAAGTATGCCATTAGAAAAACATTTTCTGGACAAAATTTTGAGAGAACTCTAAGACAAAACAGCCTGAAGATACCATCGTACAGACTTTGTTAAGGTGGTTACTCCAAGTGAGCCCCCGGTCAATGGTAATACCCAGAAACTTAAAAGAATGAACTTGTTCAATTTGTGAGTCATCAATCATGACCGTTACAGTCTAACTTGGTTCACCGTGCCTGTAAAAACGGATTAAATTTGTTTTTTGAGAATTTATCATCAAATTGATGTTTAAAAAAAATTGAACACATTAATATAGATCTACAAAAGTTTTGATTTCTAGATTTTGAAGATTGTTGGCACTGCAACAGAGAGTCGTATCATCAGCATACTGAACCAATTTGCTAGATCCAGATGCTAAAGACAGATCGTTAACGTAAACCAAAAATAAAATTAGACCAAGAATGGATCCCTGCGGGACACCATACTTTAACAGAGCTGGTTTTGACAGATGATTTGAGACCTGCACCTGGTTGAGTTCTGTTTGAAAGGTAAGATTTTATCCAAATGCAACAGAACACCTCGAACACTGTAGTGTTCTAATTTTGACAAGAGGATACTGTGGTCGACACAGTCAAAAGCCTTGGTAAGATCTAGAAAGATAGGGTACTGAGTGTGGGGTGATGCTTGTCCAGATTCTCAATTACCTTACTGACAAGGCACTGACCACTGAACCTGAGGTACTGACACTGCATCCACTGAACATTTCCCCCTTCTGAACCCGAATTGATCAAATACAAAAATTTTGTGATGATTGAGGAATGTTAACAACTGAATCAAGAACAGTTTTTCAAAGATTTTGCTAAACACAGGCAAGAGATGGGATGGTAGTTGTTGGCATTGAGCGGGTCCCCCTTTTTAAAGATTGGTGTAACTTTTGCCCTTTTCAGATCTTCAGGGAAACACCTACTCTTAAAAGAGGCATTGACTGCTTCTGTCAATGGACGTTAATATATATGCTCAGACAGTTGCTTGAGAAGACATGCCATCGACATCTGTTGATCTCTTCGGTAGTTGATTTATGACAGTTGCAACTTCCTACTCTGTTACGGGAAAAGTCCCATAGAGGATGTCAAATTTGAAATTGCTACTTGGGAAAAAAATCATTGAGGTAGTTTGCCACATTCGAAGGTTCTGTGACTAAGCCACTGTTTATTCTTACATGAAATAGGTTTTTCAGTTTTCTAGCCTTTTATATTGTTGATCATACCCATGGTGGAAGAGAAAAACATGTCTTTTCCTTCCACCATGGATCATACCCCATGCTGATTTTGAGGTATTCGTCAGTAGCTTTTAATTTTTTTCTAATTTCATATAAGGTTTCGCTGCTCTAATTAGTTTTCTGTAGCCTAAATTCTTTTGTAATTTTTAAAAATATTTCAAAATTTGCATCTCTTTACAACAGTTGCTATGGCAACCACGCGTTGATTCCCGAACAGGGCTTGGGAGACTTGATGATAGACGGAGGGAGGAATTCCGATAGTTAAGTATAATGAAAGAACTAAAACGGGAAACGATTGATGTTTAGTAATTGTTCTGACACGGTAGAATACAGGGGAAGTTGTCGTGAAAACTGATGAAAATATTATATCTCGTAGTTAATTACCCAATTGTTGCTATGCTATTAGTTTTGGGTCAGTTAACATTGATTGTTAAAAGTTTTAACAATTATGTAGGTAATAATGTTGAAGCTTCAAAAATTTTAGGAACATTTTCAATAAAAAAAATTCTCCCAATAAATTTAATGATGTGAATTTTAAAATAATAATTAGGCCTACAGCAATTAAATAAATCCTAATAACTCAATCTTCTACAGTAATTCTAGTAGCATTTCTTCGAAAACACTCTAGAAAATCAATAACACCTAAGTTACGTTAGTTTTGCCATAAAAAAAACACCACAGCACAGCCTTACAAAATGCAATTTAAAATAAAAATTTCATTCACAAACTTCATCCATAAAAGGCTATCAATAAAAAATCCACATGCGTTATGTAGGTCACATGTCACCAACTAGAAGATCACAATACAGTAGAAATAGTGAGTGGAAGTATACACAATGTCATTCCTTACGTCTTTGTGAGGACAAATGACTGGCGGTATAATAAAAATCGAGGTAAATTATGAATATTAATTAACCGATAGAGAACAAAGCTTGATCGACTGTCCGGGCCTAGCTAGCTTGCTCGCCTTCATTGTACATATAACAATCCGGAGCTCCAGAGTGTACGAGGCGCCCCGCACTACTGCAGCCTGGTGGAGAGCACGGGAACTAAGTGCAGACAGGTGTTTGACAGAACACTAACCATCAAGGACCAAAGGTTCTCATCAGTGCCGTCCCTAGAGTGGCGCCCCCTCCTGCCCAGCAGTAATAGTCACATTCGCATATTTTAATTCAATGTTAATACAAATAGCAGCTGCACGGCGCCCCCTCAGCCACAGCGCCAGGGGCAGCTTGTCCCGGTTGCCCCCCCCTTCGGACGGCCCTGGTTCTCATGCGAAATCGAAGGGGATGATTATTCTATTGAAAATACAGCTATTTCATTTTTTGATTATATTAAATGATTTTTAAAACTTTCTCCCCAAAAAATCACTTAACTTAAAAAAAAAACTGATAAATTTTTATTTTAATACCAAACGCAACCCCTATAAAGTGTTTTTTCCAAAATTGTAGAGTTTGAGTTTTAGGTAGAAATGATGTCAGTGGATTTGTACAGATTTGCATAGCTATAGACTTCATATGGTCCGATTTTGATGACATTAGTGGTCTTCCTTGGTATCTCCAGATGTTTATTTACTGCCCTTAAAATCATTTTGTTTTACCTATGAAATAAGGAAGAAATAGGATCTTCACAAAAATGTCTCATACAATTTTGATTAATATATTAGTCCTTTTGACTCTCAACAAAATAGTACAACCCCCATTGCTATAAAAATACTTTTCAAAAGTCATTGCAACTTTTGGGATTTTCCTCCAAAAATACCATAGTTACTCCTATTTTTTTTTTGTTTACTCATGATACAAAATGGTACATTTGCTTTATTCAATCTGTTTTTAAAAGTTTATTTCAAGTTAAGATCTTACAGTTGACTTTTTATATTCCGATCCAATTGAGTTCAAACATCTGTGTTCAAACACGAACATGTGTAAATACACATATGTTTTGTCCATAGTGAGGTATGAATAAGTCACAATCTGTTTATTTAGCACTGTTTACACAAAGTACCTGGGGACCGAGCTTTGCTCGGGGAAAATCATTAGTTCACTCTGAAAGCACCTTAGTATTGGAGATACATAAATCCACACATCTACGCCCTACATCATTTCCTACGTCATGGACCTGTTTCCCTCCATTCCCATTGCATTTAAAGATTGCAGATACCCTAATCTAATCGTCATAAACAGTTCCCACACTCCTGACTACTCGCCTTGACTACTTCCTTCACCACTTCCTACGTCGCGGACCTGTTTCCCTCCCTTCCCATAGCATTTTAGGATTGCAAATACCTTAATCTAATCATCATAAACAGTTCCCACGCTCCAGACAGCTCGCCTTGACTACTTCCTTCACCACTTCTTACGTCACGGACCTGTTTCCCTCCCTTCCCACCCATAGCATTTTAGGATTGCCCATACCCTTATCTAATCGTCATAATAGTTCCAACACTCCGGACAGCTCGCCTTGACTACTTCCTTCACCACTTCCTACGTCGCGGACCTGTTTCCCTCCCTTCCCATTGCATTTAAAGATTACAGATACCTTAATCTAATCGTCATAAACAGTTCCTACACTCCGGACTGCTCGCATTTACTACTTCCTTCATCACTTCCTACGTCACGGACCTGTTTCCCTCTATTCCCATAGCATTTTATGATTGCCTTTACTACTTCCTCCACTACTTCCTATGTCACGGACCTGTTTCCTTCCCTTCCCATAGCATTCTAGGATTGCAGATACCTTAATGTATTCGTCATAAACAGATCCTAGACTTTGCACTGTTACCCTTGACTACAATGTATCGAGTAATCTTAAGTATAATCTTTGCTCAATATTATCAAGTGATGTTTTTCCTTTTGTACTGTATTTGTAATTTGCTAGTATACTGTGGGTAGTTGGCTTATTATGAACACATGCTACAACTTCAAGTCTTTTGTTTACTTTTTCCTTGTTATTTAGTTCAGCCAACATGGTTACCTAGCAACCCATAAGACTAATGTTAAAAAAATGTGATTTTCAGTTTCATTTTTCTACGTAATTAGATTTTTGTTTGGCAGTTCTAACTGCATGAAACTCGTTTTTAGGCCAGAAATGAACTATTTACAACATTTGAAGAAAATCGTCGGAGCCGTTTTCGAGATCTTTTTGCAAGCAAGCAAGCAAGCAAGCAAGCAAGCAAGCAAGCAAACATTGCTCGTATTAGAGTATAGGATTGTTGTATTCCTTTTGTCGTTATGCCTAACTGGTTATTGGTTTTAAAAATCTCAATATCTCTTTAAATTAACATTTGCTTAAGGACTGGTTTTTAGCGATTTCCCTATAGGGAAGTAGTTATTACCGGGGCCAGGTGATGAATTTTTAAATTTTAAATTAATTTTTTGTGCTTAGTTTTGAGCATATTTTACAGTAATTTATAAAGGGATTCTGCACATCTACAAGAAATCACATTTCTAACAGTATCCTTAAATTTTCGATGTGATGCACACGAGCTGAGAAAAAAGGTTTTAAAGAAACATGTTTGCCTATTAATATATCGATTCTGCTTCTGATGGGTCACACTTACCTTCTGCAATGCACGTTATCATTACGGTATCCAAATGAGAGTCCATTGTATCATTGACTATACACAGAATAGACTTCCCATGTAATGTAAAAACAGGGCCGGTTCTAGGAATTTTTCAGAGTTAAGCGAACACCCGAATCAGCGCCACTTAGAATCCCCCCCCCCACCACCCCACCCTCAACCCATGAACATTACTTAACTCTATTTGTGAATTTTTTCCCAAAGATTTTGGGAAGAACTTTTTTATAAGTTTAGGTTAGAAGAATACTTGCAATAAAAGACTGTTAATTATTCCCAGGAATTTAACATTTTTACACTTTTGCTCATCGTATAAACTTTAGCAAAACCAAGGCTACACTAAAAAAACAGGCCGTAATGCTCGTCAACCATGACGTCACGATAGAAGATGGCAATGACGTAATGTTTGCCGTTTGTGATCAGCTGCTTGTTTTAATCTTTCCTTGGAAAATAAATAAATAAATACCTACGTCATTGCCGTCTTCTATCGTGACGTCATGCTTGACGAGCATCACGGCCTAAGTTAACAATTTATTTCCAAATGTGAAAACGGGAACGACCACACTCGTCCGGTAAAACGACCACACTCGTCCGGTAAACACTTATTTTCAGGACTAGTAACGTAATATACTATTACAGGATAACTTGGATACAAAATAAGTTAAAGCCTATTACAATGAAAAACAGGTGTAGATAGATGACAAGAGAGGAATTTTTAATTGAACACATTAAACACGAAGAAAACATGAAAAACCAAATTTATTACCTTGACAAAAAGAATACAAAATTATCAATTTGAACAGTTCAAAAGCTCTTAGCAGTTAAAAATTAATTTTCCTAGCTTTGATCTTGGCAAATTCTTTAATTGCAGAGTTGGTATCAATCTGGTTCAGAACATGAGTCATGAAATGAAACCCACAGGCGCCGCGCTGTAGTACGCTGCCGACTGCCGAGCGTCAGTTCACTACAAATGGCATTAAGTCCTTGAGTTGTAGTGCTGTACAAATATACACATTTTTCATATGCTGTTGGTACAAACAGAATAAATGCCTTTATTGTGGTGCTTTGAATACTTGAACTCTGAGCAAAAATAAACAAAATTACGTTGTTCACTAAAAAAAAAAATTGTTCCGTTGGCGCCACGGCGCCAATTTTTTGTGGCGCCATATGCGGCCGCTTAGTTTGCCCATGGGTTAAACCGGTCCTGTGTAAAAATTTGAAGCCAAAAAGAAACGTGGTGCAATTTGTTGAGATGGTCTACCAAACCAACTAATAACAATATTTTTCATCACTCCTTAACGAAAGTAACTATTTTCGAGAACATAATTATAATATAATTATAAATTAATTATAATTATATAATTTTATTATTTACTTTTATGTTCTTAAAAGAGGTGCGGTGAATGGACAGTGAAGCTATTTCTAGCTGTTTGATACAAGTGAGTGATTAAAGGTGTTTGAAACACGATGAATATGATATAAATCTAAGACTTACCGTCTTGAAGCAATCCAATTTTTGTACTCAGTGTACAGCTGTTTCGGCTTTATAAAGCCATCTTCAGCACATTCTTCTAGAGGTCAATTATAATGAATTGACCTCTAGAAGAATGTGCTGAAGATGGCTTTATAAAGCCGAAACAGCTGTACACTGAGTACAAAAATTGGATTGCTTCAAGACGGTAAGTCTTAGATTTATATTATTTAAAAAGCAAATCCTGGTCAGCCAACCACAAAGTATGGATGAATATGAGATTAACAAACCATGTATGTTGTTCGTTCTAAGAGGTTGTGACCGATCTTTAACAGGTCACAATTTCATTGAAAAGTATTATAAAGACGTCGTGAAAGAGAGCGGCGGGTTCAGGTACAACCTTACCCACCTCGGCCACCTTAGGACGCAAGGTATGAAGGTTCCACTGCTTTTAGTTCGAACTTGGCCCCTTTAAATTAAATATAAAGTCAAAGTTGATTAAATTAATTTAATGGTGGCTTCTGTACACCCGTGGATTCGCGGGTAGAACCTCTTGTTTATATTTAACCCAATACACAGTAAGCTTTGGTGAGATATGGTCCTGAACTTAATCTATTTTATTGGTTTCAAATTTGTATATCACATGGGAAGTCTGTGTATAGTCAATAACTGTATTGATAAAAATATGATATAATTTAGGAATATCAACATGAAAAAAGTGAACACAGTTTTTTATTGAAATACTACATTAAGTAATCAAAACCTAATCTATCAAAACTTCAAAATGTACAACTCCAATTTTCTCTTTTCTGTCGTGTATAAGGTTTCTTGCCCAGGCTTTGCATTCTACGTTTATAATGACACCAGCTGAAAACACAATGTATGTATAGTTAGACAATGGATACAAAATGAATGAAGATATCATAAACATAACACCTTATTTGCTAAAAATTGAAATTAGTGCAAAATGTGTCCACAGTTTTGTATGAAAACTGTATTATTAGTCATCCTCATTGTTTTATTGATAGTAAAACTAAATCATAAGCTTAGCACCATTAATTTTACTGTAATTTATAACTTTTGGACCTATTGATTAGTTGAACCTTCCAAAGTCATGCTAATTACGCTAAATTATGATGGATGACGTAAGGTATGTAAACATATTTGTCATGTAAATCATACAGACTGTGAACTATTTCATCATACTGACTTACTATTATCAGTTGTCAATCATTGAGATAGGGATGCAACCTATGTGCATATTTAAACCCAAATTTGAGCGAAGGATTGGTGTAGAATTGAGTGAGATGATCTGTGTGGCTTTGTTACTGACTAAGATCAGCTGTTATAACTGTAAGCACTTACTCTTAGGTCTGATGAACTGTATTGCCACCAGAGGGCTGAGATATCCTTCAGTGTTGACATAAGGGTAGAAGTATCCCGGAAAACCTTGTTTAGGGATGTATCTTATCTCCCCAATGTTCTCCTGGTCAAGTGGATGTTCCCCTTCGCAGGTCACCCAGACTGTGTTAAGCTGTAACAGTTGTTTTGTTTAATGTCCTCGCCATCTAAACAAATCTCAAATTTTTAATGATATACTAGTAGTTGAGCCCATTATTCTGGCTTCAAAGTCCAAGATGCTAACAACACACCCGAAAGATAAAATGACCATTGAACATGACTTAAAATTAATTAAGTTAACAGTTAAGTACCGAGTTAAAAATGTTCTGGAAAGCTTGTGAACTAGCTTAGAGTAACTAGCAATGTTTTTAACAATACTAATGACTCATAGATGTAATGAGTTCATGTAGGTCTAATAGTAGTATCACTAACATTAGGAGTAAGTTATCATTAATACTGATTTACATGGACTCAAGTAGTTCAATAATAGTTTAGCTTGAGAAATTCCATTCTTTGGTCAAAGACACATTGGACGAGAGAAAAGTGCAAGGTTAATGGTAAGAGAAGGGATGACAGAGTTAATGAAAATTCTAAACACTTTTAGGAAAGCAATGTTGAAATTTGTATCCATAAAAGCAAGATACTGGCAATGGGATAATTTACGCATGCAAAATGAACTCAAGATTAAGGGGAGAGCGCCATTCGTAGCTTAAGGGTACTGGTAAGTCAATGCATAAAAAAAGTTAAAAAAAAGACCAGTACCGGTAAAAGTTGAGATCAGGTTTAGGATTTCAACTTGTTCCAGTATTGCTAATTTAGGTACAAAGACTAGTAATATAGTTAGTTTATAGTGAGGTGAGTCAGTGGCTCAGTCGATTGCGCCACAGACTTTGGGTCCAACGCAGCGATGTTGTGGGTTCAGATCCTGGTAACTGCCACTATACTTTTTCCCTTGTCCAGTTCACCCTTGTACTGTACCGGCTCACCCCTTGCCTTGCTATATACGTTCCACACACAGGCCACTCTGGCCCATGTTGATGGGCAAATGAAAGGTAAAAGAAACCACCAACCTCTTTAAAAAGGTTTGACTAATAATAGTAGTGACAAACAGCTACTACAGCTACTACAGTTTGTTATATATTGTTACTGTATTAGATTTAAAATAAATAAACTTACAAAGAGAGGGTTTACACTTTTTTGTTGGTTTATGTGGGCTTTGAGATCAGCAGGCATATCAGAGGGCAGTGTTGAGGTATCATTATAATATTCTGGAATCCAACCGTAAATCTGGAACAAATGGCAGTAATATGTTAAAAAATACATTTCCTTACTGAACACGACAGATTTACAACAAACCTTGTTAACAGATTTAGCTGCAAAATTGATTATAGCATTATCTAAGGCATCGTAATCAATAAGTAAAGGTGGTTTACAGGTTTTCTGTATAAGACCACTTTTGTGAATTTAGTTTTAAGACGGTATCATTGAGGGTACCTATCATACTACTAATATTTAAGGTTATTCTAAACTTTAGAAATCACATAAAATATGTTAAGTTTCAATGAGCTTAAATACATGAAGTTTTCCTGACAGCCAGGAATGTGATATTTTGGATTAGTAAAACTGTTCAAAGTTTTCTGTATCAAACAAAGATAAATGGCCCAGAATATAAGATCTCTGATGGCAAGAGGTCCGAAATTATGACGTTTTGGCTGATTACCTCAAGCTCAGAGTGGAAGGGGGAGAGGGGTTGCTTTATCTCCAGAGCCTTTTATAGCAGGTGACTTTTGTTTGGGTCATATAGTCTAAATCAAACCTATTTGGTTTCTTGTATGATTTAATGTTCATCAGTGATCGCCCAATTATTCTCCGGTTAAGTCTCAGAAATTAAGATAGCCATGTATGCTATACCAAGTACCTTGTTGAGTTTGACAAAGACACAGGGGCCAGACTTGTGATAGTTGAACTGGTTCTCAGATATGCAAGGATGCCAGTTCTTGACGTCTACATCGCACACTTGTCCGCGGCCTGGAGGTCTGTCATAGTCACAGTTGTATATGTTCTGACCCCGACCTGGAGTCAAGCCTGGTCGTCTGTACACTGGAAAATCAGATCACAACCTATAAATGTTTGATTTAAATTGTCCATTAAATACAAATTATGTTTGGACACGGTAAGTCTAGTAGTAAGAGTGTAGGACTTCTATCTTAGAAGCTAGCTCTAATTTTTACTTACTGTACTTAGTTCCTCTCTTCCCAAAGGGAATGTAGGGTTTTGATAAAAGCCTTCCATTGCACTCAATTCTTGGCCATCCTCTTTCACCACAGCTCTTGTTTTCCACAATTTCTTTCTCTATGGATCTTCTCCAAATCATCCTTGGTCTTCCTCTCTTTCTATTTCCCTGAAGGTTCCACTCAAGGGCCTGACAATGTTGTCATTTGGTCTTCTTAGGGTGTGACCTACCCGCCCAAACGTTCTTTTCTTTACCATACCACCAACAGGACTTTCCTTTGCTCTGGTCAACAGCTCAATATACTTTATATTATGTTATTCTTTCTTGCCAAAATACGTTGAGTATTTATTTGAGACATTTGTGGATACAAACTTATATAGTCTGTGTGTTACAACATTTGGGACTTTTCAGGTTTAGCCCCCATAAAGAACAGATGTCAAGTTCGATTTAGCTTTGTATTTCTTCTTATTTGACTAGGGCGCCACAAATGGACCAAGCCGCCTTTCGCCTTTTTTATCCCTTTTTCCATCTTTTTCAGATCCTCCAGCCTTTGACACAATAGTCAAAGATACTACCCAAGAACTGGAACTGATCTTCATACTTTATAATTTACCTTTCATTAACAATCAACCACTGGTCATGTATTGAATTTAGTTTCATTTCTTTAATCTTATTGAAGTTTATTTTTAAACAACATTTTGTAGGTTATCTAGATTCCAATACAATTGTTCTGATTGGTTCCTCCTCATGAGGAAGCATCAATGATTTAACAACAACAAAAAATTATTCTATTCTGAAGATTTCTATTTCGATCCCAAGCAGGGTTCTTCTGGAATGGGTCACCATTTGTCAATGAGACATATTTTTTTAAGTAAATAATTGGATTTTTATTATGTTCTATTTGTTAACTGGAAAAATGTTTATCTCTATCTTATAACTCGTTATTATGGATTTAATATTGGATAAAAAATACTTATTCATTCTTTGTATATTTATTTTGTATATAAAATGACAAAAGATCTCTTACCATCTAAAAATTCATCCAACGTTTTAGTCCATAGTTCAAACGTTTTTGAATCCTTCCCTCTGTACCATATGAGTGTACTTCTGCCATCTGTATCATTAGGCATGGGACGGAAACCAAGGCCTGAAAAAATGTTGAAAATAAAGTAGAATAACTTTAATCCAACAATTGCAAGTAGCCTAGCGCTACTTTTAACTAATTTTACAATATTTGTAGGGACTTAGGCATGTCAACACTTTCTGTACGCTACTACATAGATAAAAACCTAACCATTCAAGCTTTAGTTTTAATTTTAGCTTTAATTCAGGGAGTTTAACCTGAAAATCCATAAGAAGGGCATTTCTTAATCACTTATAGACACCAACATGCTCTGGGTATGTATTTTATGCTTTATGATTGCAGGGTGGATAGTTTTGTTGCCGACTATGATCTGATATTTCTAGGTTTATCTTTTTAACCATAATTATTAATTAAAAAGCCCAAGGATCAAGGACAGGTAGGACCAGTTTTGAAGCATCAACAAGCTACTAACCCCTTTATAAGAATAGCAATCTTCTGGCTAGGTCTCGTAGCTATTCATATATAAAAGTCTTATGCTAAGTCACTTTAACAGAATGGCAGTATAGCTTAATTAACGATGGCCCAAAATATTTATGTTGTTTTCCAAACAAGCTCATCAGTACAAAGTTCAGCTCGAGAAAATATTTCTACCTGGATGTCTCCCGATGAGTGACTCTGTCAGGGTCCACCGAGGTATCCTTGGATCCAACGTGTGGTAGAAGATCCACAACATGATCCCAAACATGGACGCCAACACACAGTAGAAGATCAGGTAGAATGCTCCGATCTTACCTAAAATGTAAAACAATTATTGATCTGATTTCATTGTTGGTAAGTTTGGTAAATGATTGCATTCACGTGGAGTTCCTTTAAAATTTGCATTCTTTTTAAAGATTTTCATTCTCAATGGTGATTCACTGAAGTTACAAGCTTAAGTTACAAGTTATTGAGAAAAAAGGTAATTGCTATGTTCTTGGTAAGCACATCAACATTAATTTAACTATTTTACCTACCTCAAGCTTTTCATCAACCATACATTTGAATACCGGTACCTATGACTCTTTACTGTGAGCTTTGTTAGATCAAATAAACATTACCCCAATGTAAAATATATACTGTATGAATTATTGAATTCATCACAAGAATTTGGTCAACACAAGATGAATAATGTCTTTATGATATCTAGAGTAGTCTAAATGAATATTTTAAAATACTGTAAAAGGTTGATCTCACGTACCCCAGCTGGAGGCTGTTCTGCCCAGTACTTGTCCAGTTTCTTGGTTGTACATGAACTTCTTGAAGCCCTCCCAGTTTGAGACCTTCTCCGGGGCGACATAGTAGCCGCCCGGGGGTTGGGGCTCGTGTACACCTACGTCCTTGCTGCCAACAAGACAGAATCATATCAATCTAAAAATACAATATACATGATGCATGAATATCATTCTTGTCAATTTTAGACTAGCTACTCCATATGTGACAAATAGAATTGCGTCTTTGAAAAGAATGCCTTATTAATAATTACAAAAGCAGCAGGCTTAGATGGTAAAACTCAAGAACTAAATAAAGATGCTAGACCATGAGTCTGTCTCATGTGTCACTTGACCAAGTTTGTGAATTCATGTCATTTAAATGCTCGCTCATCTTAAATTAAAATAGCTGCCATTTTGATTAGGGATGCGATATTGACCTCTGGTTTGCACCATTCAATTTCTCTTGATAAACCCTTTAAAATGAGGGGTCAAATGATGGGTATTTACATTTAAACATTTGGGGCTGCCTGAAAATACCCCATTTTGAGGGCTGGGGCAAAGTTGTAACTTTGATGAAAAAGTTCAATATCTTGTGTTGTAAATATGTGCCGAGTTTGGTTTTATTACTGCAACGCTTTAAAAAGTTAACTGGGGGGTTCCAGACTTTTGCCTAACCCTGTATATGTACGAGATGCCAAAAAAGCCAATCTATGCGGCCTAGTCCGAGAAAACTAGAGTACCTATCAATATTCAAATCCCTTCCCTTTCCTACATTCACTGGATTGACGAAAATATCTTTAGCTATTCAACCATAACCTAATTTTTCAAATAAAATAACAAACGTTCAAAAACCTAGTTTTGTGCAAAATTGGACACTTTTTTCCTAATGATTACTACATAGGCCTTCGTCATTTTATGAAATAGGTACTAATCATCTGTTCAGAGGATACGTCAAAATGAAGATCAGTTGTTAGAAGGAAGATTATTTTTGCAAACTGTCACTGATATGTTAACATGTTGTCATGATGTTATATTGATGTTGTTTACAAATAGTGCACGATTTTAAGGAAAATCTTAAACAGAATCAACAATCAAGAATTTATTTGACCATTAAACAAATACTTGATATCAGTCTCGTCATTAAAGAATTGCAAAATGTTGTAAAAATACAGAAGGGAGATAAATAATAATTAACTTGTTTACGCTGTGTTGGTAAAAACTGTAAATAAAACCTGTAAGTCCTATCCAGAATGTAGGTTTGAATGGTTTGAGTAACCGGGAAATCTGTTGTATGTACTTGTGTTTCGATACGGGAAAAAGTCCGTGTATTATACATACAACCTCCTTGTAATATAAAAACTCTCTTCTCATATCACTTCGAAAGAATTCCGTTACAACGAGTAGTATGTATATATTAATTAAAATAGGAATTAACTTTACAAATTCGCACCATTAAAACATTTTAAATATAATATAGGTAGGTCGAGATCTCGTGACCTATATCATAGACATTAATTTGGTTACGGTAAACATGTTGTATTTATATAGAGCTACTGTATATACCAAGAAAGATTTGCGTCGTCATGTAAAACTAAAGTTTTAATAGATTTAACTAGATTAGGCCAACATTACTTATTAGCATGTATCCTACAACAACAATTAGATTAGGAATAAACTCGTGACTAAGATTCGATATTCCTTGATTAGCCCTTGTAATTTTGTTTATAACTATCAGATGCGTATATAAATACGTTAGTTTGTAGTTATTTATAGTTATTATTGTAGTTATAGTGATCGCCATTTCTTTCTTATTTTCTTCTTATTCTTTTTCATGTCCCCTAGGCCTATTCTCAACTAGTTCAGTTGACACATATACATTTTGTATCCCCGATAAAAAAAGTGAAACCGTTTGCGTATAATATACTTTGAAATATAAAAAAAGATTTACAATTGTATTATAAATAAATTAAGCATGTTAAACGGTCCTGGGATTTTAAGCAAAATCTAAAATCACAAAATTTTAAGGAACCCAAAGTGAAAAAAGATAAAACACCTTCTCTTAAATTTAATAATTAACAATAATATTTTTTTAGACTAAGATAGTATAAACTAAAAAAAATTAAAAAATACTTGATAAGCGAAACTGACCTCATGTCGTGGCTGTTTGTAGTCAGGCTTCCATCCCCAGAGTGGAGTCGAGGCCTTCAGCACAGGATATCGCCCATTACTTCATTACTCCATTGCGACCATTGGCAAGGCGACCATTCACAATCTGCGTGGGTTTACGTGGATGCAATTCCCTCTCAATGGAGGGGCGGGACGCCGGGACTTCCTGGACGTCGAGGTCTGTAGGGAGGATATGGAGATGGCTAGGTACAGTTGTCTGGAATAGGGATAGGGCAGGGATCTTTAATGAGGGGTGGGTAGCAGGGCTAGAGATATGCGGTGGGTAGATTAGACGACAATGCGGTAGAAAGATTGTTTATAACGAAGGATGGTTATGATTGTTGTCTTGAAGATGAGACTAGGGTACGGATGACTATAGGTGGATGACGAGGTTGAGGTAGGGGTAGATGTTAGGCAAAGACATTTTCTGGACGGTATGGGTAAGGTGGAATTTTTACCAAGATACAAATAATATATTACCTTAACAAGAGATAATCGTTGGGATTTTGTCTAGATTATGACATATGGTAGAGAGATGGATGACGAGAAGGATGGTTAAGTTGTTGTTTCGGCGATTTTCGGGTGTAGAGGTTGTATCGATGACAGAGATGTTAGGAAGAGACGTTGTTTGGAGGATAGGAATATATAGGAAGAATAATTTTTAACAAATATTGATATTTGATTGACGGGGGTAGGAAAATTGTATGGATGAAGGTTAGATAGAAAGTTGGATAACGAAGGATGTTTAGATAGTTTGTCTGAATAACTAGGGATGGTTAGAATTATGTGACTGATGAGAGAGAATGGATGTTATCTAAATCACGAAGATCCGGATTTTCTATGGTGATAGATAGGTGCGTATGAATAACGGAAATCGGTTGGAAGGTGTTCTGGATGACGCAAGGTGGTTAGGTAGTGTTTAGAATTTTTAGACGAGGCATAAAATTATCTCGAGGAAATTATTTTGATAACCAACTATAGTTAGGAAAGTTGTCTGGAGCATGATTAGGAATGGAAAAATGATGGGAGGTTAGGTAGGAAGGTGGACAAATGACGAAGATTGAACAAAGAAGTTGTCTGAAAATTAGACTGTAAGAGAGCATGAAAGGGCGATGGGGTAAAAGGTAGGGTAGCACTGACGAACGATTGGTATATATGTAGTAGGTTATGGATGACAGGAATTGGCAGGAAATGCTGTCTAAATTATTGAGAATAGTTAGGGAGTCTCGATGACAGAAAATGAATATGCAGATTTAGTATGAATGATAAAGACTGAAGAGACAGTAAATAAACGGTATCAGCATTCGGACACATACTTTCTCCCATAAGTTTGTCAACAACCTTTATCATGTGTAGGCCTAAGCGGTGAGAGGAAATACGGAAATGGAATTTGTACAATTTTCTTCAGAATTTAAAGGACTATAAGATACTAAATTTTTATCAAAATCGTTCGAGCCAATTTTGGGAAAATGTGATTTTCCGTTATTTTATGGGGGTTTTATGGGAAAATAACATAATTTACAATAACTTTTGAACCGTAATTTTTACAGAGATGGGATTTGTACCATTTTGTTCAGAATATAAAGGACTATAACATACTAAATTTTTATCAAAATCGTTCGGGCCATTTTTGGGAAAATCGTATTTTTCCGTTATTTTATGGGGTTTTATGGGAAAATACCCATTAAAAATAAAAATTTCTAAAAAATAAAAAAAACTATCAAAATTGTAAGGACCATAACATACTATGTCAAATAAAAACCGGATTTTTGTCTAAAATCCTATTTTTCGTTATTTTATGGGGTTTTATGGGAAAATAACATAATTGACCATCACTTTTGAACCGTAATTTTTACAGAGATGGGATTTGTACCATTTTGTTCAGAATTTAAAGGGCTACAACATACTAAATTTTTATGAAAATCGTTCGGGCCATTTTTGAGAAAATCCGATTTTCCCGGTTTTTTATGGGTTTTATGGGAAAATCCCCATTAAAAATCAAAATTTCAAAAAAATGAAAAAAAAAAACGCCTGGAGATACTATGGATTAGAACCTACATACCAAATTTCATCGAAATCGGACCACAGGTGTAGTCTCTAGCTCTGTACACATCCAGACACACAGACACACAGAAACACACACACACACACACGCACACACACACACACACACACACACACACACACACACACACACACAGACATCACTTCGAAAACCACTTTTTTGGGTCCAGGGGGACCCAAAACGAATATATCCACTCCAAACTCAAACTCGAAAATTTTGACGAAAACAATACTTTCTCCATATACTATGGTATAGGGGGAGAAAGTAAAAATGATGAAGGATAATACATACACAAGACACTCATAGTGACGAGGACAGAGTAAAGTCTGACCGGAGACATTAAATTATCTCTCATTTAAGAAATATCCTTTGCGTCTTTATAACAACCAGAAAACAATTATTATTATTGATTAAAATGGCTATCTAACCCGGAAGAGTCATGTAAATTTGACCGTTTCACATTTTAACCTTTTTTCAGTGAGATTTGTCGTTAATCAATCAATTTACATGTTTAGTCTTTGCCCTGGAATCGAGTCAATATTAGATAAATAAGCCTACTCCCACACGTCGATTGGAAATTATATTTAGAAATAGGTTTACCATAAAACGTTACAATGAAATAAAGTCATTGACGTGAAATATTTCAAAAATTTCGTTCTATTTGAAACACGAATTTTAGTTTTAGAAATAAAACATAACCCCAGAAACCAACGATGATTAACATTAACAATGTTTGCTCATTACATTTGGTAGAATGAGTGAGATGACTTGCGTAGCTTTGTTACTAAATAAAATTAACTGTATCTGTCATGAGTACCATATATGAAAGTCCATTGATCAACATGACCTGACTAGTTTCAAGATCAAAAAGCTACTAAATTTTCTCTGTAGGTCGTCCCATAATATTCTACCCTAGTGAAAACACACTAAATTCCTCCTTAATTGGGCCACATACGATTTCTTAGCGAATCAATCTCATAGATTGTCAAGAAAGAGCAAGACTATAATCAATGCTGTTATTTCAGCCCATGTTCTGTTCTGTTCTAAGATCGTGCTAGTGGTAGATGGTAGATGCTAGGCGTTACCTTGACTCATATGAAGACGGCGGAAGGCATAATCTTGGTCGTTTATCCACTCTCTCGCCAATTATTGCCAACTTGACGGAGAGAATACAAATATTTCTCGCTTAGTCTACAAGCTGTAAGCTACTTTATACTCTTTTCAAAACGGACATTTCCACAATGACGATGACGAATCTATATTATTAAAAGAATTTGTTGGATTTAAGTGTGCAGCAAATTGACCCCTAAATATTTATTTGTATAGGCATATTGGATATCGGCTTAAGCCTCTTATCCTCCAGATGTGCCTTTTGCAGGTTTGGATGATATTCCGTGAAAGACCTTTGTCCTATATAGGCTTTTACAATTTCGTAGTTGGTGCTGAATTCTGTCGTCAATCATCTGAACTTTTTCAAGTTTACATTAAAACAGATGGCCATAATACAATTTTGTTTACATCCATACAAAAAATATTCAAGTAAAATATTGTAATGTTTTTGTTTAAAGTAAAGAGAAAGAAATACTTACGTTACATTTTGTGTTTTAGCTTCATAAGTATTTGTAGATTTTCTAAGATGCCTCGAAAAGATCACGCACGCTATGACAATAATAGGGCTCGAAATGCAAAAATAGGGATATATGATGAGAAATAGTCGCAAGGGATGGTCACGGATTTTGCCGCTATCGCAATGGATGGTCACGGATTTTGCCGCTATCGCAAGGGATGGTCACGGATTTTACCGTGATCGCAATGGATGGTCACGGATTTTACCGTGATCGCAATGGATGGTCACGGATTTTGCCGCTATCGCAATGGATGGTCACGTATTTTGCCGCTATCGCAAGGGATGGTCACGGATTTTGCCGCTATCGCAAGGGATGGTCACGGATTTTACCGTGATCGCAATGGATGGTCACGGATTTTACCGTGATCGCAATGGATGGTCACGTATTTTGCCGCTATCGCAAGGGATGGTCACGGATTTTGCCGCTATCGCAAGGGATGGTCACGGATTTTGCCGCTATCGCAATGGATGGTCACGTATTTTGCCGCTATCGCAAGGGATGGTCACGGATTTTGCCGCTATCGCAAGGGATGGTCACGGATTTTACCGTGATCGCAATGGATGGTCACGGATTTTACCGTGATCGCAATGGATGGTCACGGATTTTACCGCGATCGCAATGGATGGTTACGGATTTTGCCACTATCGCAATAGATGGTCACGGATTTTACCGCGATCACAAGGGATGGTCTCGAATTTTGCCGCGATAGCGGGTGATGATCGTGGATATTGCCCTGATAACTTTCCAAATCAGCATACGCCTTTTTGTTTTTAAATACTACATATATTATCTTAGGTCAATCATATTAACATTTTTGTGAGTCCGTGTACAGTTGGATTTCATAATTTGTTCCCATTGTTGTGGAAAAGGTACATCAGTTGTGCAATGCAAAAAATTTAGACCTTTAGATTATGGCACGATTTTTACCGTTCATTTTCACTATATATTATTTTCACTTTATGATCAAATAATGATATTCTAGAGAGTTTTTATACACACTGTGTGTCTGAGGTACAAACAATAGATAAAAAATAAATCCGGTCAATAAGTATTTAAGGATGGGTGCTTTATCTAATTATTATTTATTGATCAAACAATCAACCATTCCACAGGGAGGACTTTCCAATTGCTGAGATTGAATAGAATGCATCCGTTCAAAATCCCAACAAAATCTGGTTAGAACTGGTTAAAGTATTGTATAGAGCACAACACTCTACTTATCCCCTTTGAACCAGTGAAATTTAAGTGGTTTGGAATGTTGACAATTTCAACTATGTCAACAGGATTGGTTTTTTGAAGAAGACATAAGAAACATTTACTAAAAAAAAAGAATACCTGTAGGCAAAAATTCCTGATTATTTTGTCTATTAGTAGTTCTTGCTTTTGATAAAAAAGAATCATTA